CCTTTTGGGATGCAGAGTTCAGAAAAAATCCGACTTTGGAGGTATATCCCCTGGGGGTACAAATTTCGGGGGTAAACGGTGGTGTAGTCGTAGTACCTCTGACTGGCAATCAGAAGGCATGGGTTCAATTCCAGGTCATTCCTCGTCTATTTCTTGGCTTTTTTTTGGCAGACAGTAAAACGGTGAGACATGGAAAGCTGAAACTTGGCATGGACGTGCCTTACCGAGACGATGAATTCAGGAAAAATGAAAAATTTTAGATCCATGCCCTGGGGGCATATGTTTTGAGCCTACGTTTTCAAGCATTTTTCTGGTCCTGGTGTATTAAGCTAGTGTGGAAATATGAAAGTTGGTACATAACTTCCTATTGGGATGCTGCAGAAAACTTCAGACTTTAGGAGTAAATGCCCAGGGGTCACAAATTTCAATGGGAGATGTTTTTTGTTAATTTTTTTGCATCAGTTAAACTGATGAACATGGAAAACTGAAACGTTGTATGAATGTGACTACTGAGACAAAGAGTTAAATAAAAAAAATTGCTCCCCTTACCTTCAACAAAACGGAAGGAACATGGATACCTGATAGACTTTCTCTGGAATCGATAACCTAGCTTCGAATGCACAACTTTGGGGGTCCATGCCCTGGGGGCACGTTTTGGAGGAGGGGTGGGGGACTGATTTCGCAGGCATAGGCTCAACCCAAGGATGGATGCCTAGGCTAATACCACTCTCATATATTTTCTTCCTTCATGGAAGCAGGAGAGAAAATAAAAAATTGTATCATTCCACACCTTGGGTGAAGGTTGACATAGAAGGTACGTTTTTGGAGGAGGGGTGGGGGACTGATTTCGCAGGCCTAGGCTCAACCCATGGATGGATGCTTAGGCTAATACCACTCTCATATATTTTCTTCCTTCATGAAAGCAGGAGAGAAAATAAAAAACTGTATCATTCCACACCTTGGGTGAAGTTTGAATGTACGTGCTGGGACGTGACTGACTTAGCAGGCCTATAGGTAGCCCTTGGACAGACGCAGAGGCCTACTCGAATCTTGCCCAACCCATTCGCATCGAGGAACTTATCGGCCCATCTTACCGAGCATCATTTAGTCTCAACTTGACGCGCTAGGCGTTCGAGCCTTGATGAAGAGAAGGGCACGAGTTGGCGCGTGGTACGCTTGCAGATGTGAATGTTTTATTTATTTTTCTGGCAAGGAAACAGTATAAGATGTTCCCTTTATATTTCGATATAAGATGGCTATGTCTAATCCACTTAAGGACGAGCTACGGGCTGCATATACGGTTCATACGGTTTTTCATATACAACTGTATGGAACCTTTAGAAGAGTTTGAAAAAGGGACTGCCATGGAATCCTTTCGCCAGAATATAAAATAACGATGAAGTTCCCTACAGTCGAATTGGAATTATCGGCTTGAAACTAAGAAGTTATGAGCTTATGTGTCTGCTTCCTAGCCCCTCCCCCCCCGGATGGAGATGTAGGCTTCCGCCATTCTCATGAACACGTTCCTTCCTCCTTAGTCATTGAAGGAAGTGGGTGTTATTGCTACATTGTTGACTGTACAGGAATTATTACTTCGGAGGGAGGGAGAGGGGGTGTACACGCCCTGGGGACAAATTTCGCAGGCCTAGGCCTACCCCATGGATGGACGCTTATGCCAATACTACTCTCATTCATACTCCTCCTCTATGGAAACGGGATGGAAAATAAATAGCTGTTTCCTTGCATACTACAGATACAGTTCGACATTGGCAGTACTTGCCCAATTGGGAATGATTCACCAAGCTAATATCCAACCCTTGGACGATTGCTTAGGCCTACACTGATCTTTAATAGCCATCTTATTGTTAAAACTCTCAAGTGGCTTATGTGGTTATATGGCTGCTATTACTCCTACTTTTTTGGGGATTGATATGCTATCAAGAGTGCCTCGACCATAGACAGGAATTGAATACACCAATGGAACACTAAACGACACACTTACAATTGTTAATTCGTGATCCTTATGCTACAAATGACATGGCGTCATTATGAATGTGTTCTTTGACACCTTTACTTTAAAGGTGCGAGAGTTGAACCCATGAACAAAGGAGTTTGACCGCATTAGTAGAGGTGAGCATCGAAAACGGATGCCTTAGATCGCAGAGCGCCGAAGGCGCGTCCATATATCCAGTCCAGTATAACTATATTTATGTTGACGTGAAGCTATGGCTGCCCTACAAGGTCTTGCTAGAAATTACGAGTAAAAGACGTCTTTTTATTGTTATTTCTGGTGGTCTCTCTGACCTTGTTCAGTAGGGGAAAAGGTCTTCCTCTACCTTCCCCTTTTAGTAGGAAAAAGTTTTGGTGCTTCGATACTTCGACTCTAAGGATCAAGTGACGGATATCGTTCCGTACACATTTTTCCGACGTTCTGACAATTAGACCTTTGAAGTGGTTCGGCATTCCGACCTCACTGCGCCAATGCATTACTTGGCAAGCTTTCATCGTGAGTATTCACCTTTTGTCCTTTTGGAAACCTTTTGGAACTCTGATCGGTTTCATGGCGCACTGCTGCGAGCTGGTGTTGAAACTTTTCCCAAGATCAATTTACTTCTTCCTGGTGTTTCTTTTATTGGTGGTAGGTGTATATTAACTTTATGCATAAATTAAATTAGATTAGTAGCTTAGGAGGCTATATCTGCAATTTGCTTGAAGGTGCTTCAAGTTTCTTCCATAGCAGTTTCAAGCATTTCGAACAATTTCTCTTCGCCCCAGCTCATTTTAGAGACGTTTTTGCGACTAAGTCATATGTTTCTACGCAAAGTCAGTTTCTTAGGGTCTATCCAAATGCAATAATACAGAACCATCAGACGTATTGTTAAAAAGTTTAGAGACATTGGAAGTGTAAAAGATCAAATTAAAAGACACGGTGGTCGAAAACCTTCAGTGAGAACACCCAAAAAGATAGATGCTGTAAAAGAAGCTTTGCAGGCCTCTCCGAAAAGGCGAAACGCCGACTGCTGGTGGGAACTTTTTGGCACACCAACTGTACGAACATTTACAACAACCAGTTTCTGAAGAGAAAGTAACGATTTGGAGTGCTATCATTTGCGGTCGTGCGGGAAGTTAATGATGGGAACTTAATGATGTAAACTTACGCTCACTTTCAAAAGTAATAACAAAATTGGAATTCCATGTTATTGTGGCATTATTCATATCTAATTCGGAGTTCTTCCACTTTACAGAGACAACTGCTACAAGTACAACTACTGCGCAAGAGGATGCTTGTAAAATAGATACGAATCCCTTTGCCACTGGGTGCAATATGACTTTGATGGAGATTTGTGAAATTGTTTGCGGTTTTCTGAAATGTGTTTGTCCACCTGGTTATGCAAGATCACAAGATAACGATCCGTGTAAAGGTTGGTGCTTTCTCTTTTACATCTTTTTGCTAGCGCAGCATTCGATGACTTTCTTAGGTTTTCCCATTTTCATATCCTGATGTGTCTACACGGACCAATGTTTTGCTTGTCATTTTGCAGAAATCGCGACACATTCCGCAGAAATGCTTCTCTCAGGGAACTTCACCGATGAGTTTAACAATGAAGATCCTCGTTGCGAACCTCCTGGATCGGAGATCGAACTCGTGACTACTTTCATGAAGAGCGTTGTGAGTTCCTTCATTTTTACTTTCAGACGGTGATCACAACAAATCAGTCGAAATTCTATCGATCTCAAATCAATATTCGTATCTTGTTTGAAGGGAATTATGTCAAAAGGATTCGATACTATACGGCACGACGGGATGGCAGGCCAAAGAGGCTTTAAAATTTTCCCATGAATGCGGCATGACTCAGGAACAGTGGTTCTCACTAATGGCAAACCTTTGGCTCAAAGATAGCGGTGGATCTTCCATGGAGTTCCAAAAACAATTTTTTCACTTCAGTCAAAATTATTAAAAACAGGAAACAGGATGTTACGTTTCATTCATCCGAAGATTAAAAAGAAACTTCAAATTCCAGACCACCCTTTCAAGAAGATTCACTGGAACCCTTTATTTACTTCTCAGTTAACTTTGATGCGATGCCATTGTGGACAGTGAAAATCTCTGTTCGCCAAAGAAATAAATATAATACATGCTCCTCGAAATATGGAACAGGAACCGTCCAAAAAGGAACACCTCAAGTACCTGAGCTCCATGATCCTATGATGGGCCTGTGAGGTTCTTTTCATGTCCATCATTAGAATTGTTCGGGTCGATAGGGGCACTGAAGTCACATATGCATTGATGAAGCAGTGAAAATGATGGAATTATAAATTGATGTGAGCAGGGGAGATCGTGCCTATCTTCTTCATTCTTATGGGAATAGCGACTGTTAGAGATTGGTGTTTGAAATCCAGTCAAGGGTTTTAGTGATGCACTGCGTATATCCTTGATGCTGCCGGGAAATGAGTACAATGGGGGAAATTAGTACATTCGTTGATGTGCTCTATTGTTTGGATTAGTGCCACATTCGAACGTTGACGATTGTTTAATACGCCATTTATTCATCAGGTGTCCGGATGCGATTTAAGGTCACCCATTAGCGGCGTGGGAGTGTGACACCTCGTACCTCAGCTGATGGATCGTCGATGAGGTTCTTATTTTTCACGTCCACGTGAGACCAGGCATCTCGCTAGCGTTCTCCCGCACACGACCCCAGGTTGTGCATGATTCTCGCGACAGTCCAGATAGAGTGCCTTGATTTTAGGCGGGACGGGATAGCCCAATCGATGTCGAAGTGAATTGGAAGGAACGGGTTGGTAATAATCTTGTTGTACTCGCGCACAGTCGCCATGTCTCGCCAGATTTCGGCAGGGGGGATGTGCTCGAGCACTGGGAGCCATGGGAGCGGAGTCGGCTTGAGGCATCCGGTTACCACTCGAAGAGCAGTGTTCAGCTGCGGGTCGATTGCGTCCGTGTGAGCGCAACGGGCCCACACGGTAGCGCAGTGCTCTGCGGTCGAGTAGACCAAAGCGAGTGTTGCGGTTCGTAGGGTAGGTGAGTCAGATCCCCATGTAGTGCTAGCGAGGCGCTGGATTAGGTTGACCCTCGAGGCTAGCTTATTTCTGAGTTTCTTCAGCTGTTGCTGAAACGTCAGGTTCCTATCCAGTGTTATTCCCAGAGAGCGGGGGTTTGGGTCGCGCTGGACGCTGCGACCGCAGACCCGTGTCTTCAGCGTTCTGTTGGCGACGGAGTTTTGGAGATGGAATGCTGTAACTGCAGTATTTTGCGGGTTGGGACAGAAACGCCATTGACGGAAGTAATATTCCATCTTCTTTAGGTCGTTATTTAGAGTGGCTCACGTTTCCTCGAGTGTGCTACCTTGCGTTGCTAGCGCCAGGTCGTTGGCATACGCAAATTTGCGGGACGTGATCGCGGGCATGTCACTGATGTAGAGGTTGGACAGGGCTGGTGCAAGTACGGAGCACCTAGGTATGCAGCGGCGGTGTTTCTCTTGTGTAGGTATCTGGTCTCGATGTGTGACGTAAGTGCTAACACTTGATCACAGCAACTGCGGCCGGGCCTGAAACCAGCCTACTCCAGAGGGATGGCGCTCTTCAGAACGGGAGCCAGCCGGGTTAGCATCGCCCGCTCAAGCAACTTGTATGTTGTTGAGAGGAGTGATATTGGCCGATAGCTCTTTGGGTCGTCTGCTGGTTTGCCTGGTTTACGAAGGGCGATAACCTTTGCCCTTCGCCATATTTTCGTTAGCTTTCCTGAGTTAAGGATGTTGCTGAATAGTTTCGTAAGCCAGGTGCGTGCTGTTTCTTCCAGATTTTTCAAAAATTCTTGAAGAGTCTTCTGGAGTCTTGACCTGCCAACTTATGGGTTTTGGTGGCAGAGAGAGCTGCGTCAATTTGGGCCTCCTTGAAAGGCTCTGGGAGTGTTGACGTCGAGACGCAAGCAGCAAGGGATGCCTTCAGGGCAGTTCTCACCTCCCTTTTGGTAGCCCGGCTAGCGGTTGTTATTGAGTAAGCGTGCCTATTACCTGCATAATCTCCACTTCTGCATGCAACTCGTGCACATGTTCTTTTGGTGTTACGTGGGATACAATCACTGGATGGTGGCTATCTTGCATATCCTTTATGGTAGGGAAACTGAATAATCATGGCTGCAGACTTTCAATCATGTAATACCATCTTAGACTCATTGCTGCACTATGAACTTAGGCATGTTGCCTTAGTTTTCTGAATGTCAGAATACTTCTCCATTTATGCCCGTCTTCAATGTCTAATATTGAAGGTGCGACCATAGCACCCCTATCGGGCGAGCTGCCGTTTGGAAGGGCACATTTTGACCTCTGTTTTGACCTCTCTGTCAAAAATCAAAAGTCGAAAACCAAGCAAAAGCAATCCTAACGCAACTATACATGTAAGAAACTGTGTACTGGAGTACATACAGGGTGTTCCCAAAGTTTCCGACCCAATGGAATGAGGATGGACAAGAAATTGACTGGAATATATTGATTTAATTGAATTCCACAAGGTCACGAATATCCAAGATACCAACTACAACATCAATACTTGATATAATTTCCACGGACCTCGAAGAAACCTCGGATCATCGTCCCAAATCTCTCAACCATCCGACAGATGACGCTCGTCACATTTGTTTCTCGCTCCAATTAGAACCCCGGTAATAACTTACGCCTGATTTAGGGCTTGGGGCTGACGCATAGCAATCTACTGGAACCTGTGCCACAGTTGCTCCGGATGCTGAGGTCCGGACAGTTGTTTTGGTAAATTCTTCTAGACATGTACCATATTCTCTTGAATGGTGCGGAATGCGAAGCAAGCCTCCGAGGCATGGACTTCCGTCCTGCATCAGTACAGCCTTTTCTTGATCTGAGCAGATCGTCCGGATCTTCATGTAGCCCATGTAGATAAGCAGAATGTTTTCACTATAGTTGGCATAGCATTTAGCCACATCTTGTGTGGGTGGTTCAAAAACTCTTGGAACACCCTTTAGTATCCATATACGGGAAACTACAGTGCTAACGATTTCCAGTTGACGATTTTCAGGTCTAACTACAATTCCTCTTTTGAGCTCTCTATTCATGGCCTCAATGAAAAAAAAAGATTACTCGATCGCTTGAGAGAAGAGATTTACAACAAAGAACCCTGCAATGGGAGGATCAGCATGAGTCTCTCGTTCACTAAGTTATTGCTAGTTAGTTCTTTCTCGTTCACAATAAGATCCTAAGATGCACCCAAACCGTCACTCAAATGTAACTATCATTTAGGCAACAATCATTTAGTTCCTGTTCCTTCTTCGAGCTTCACGTGACAATCGTTAGGTAATCACGATATGATTATAGCATAAACATTACTTTCATCAAGGAGAAACAAATGCCGAATGTAGTGGATCCCGCCTCTGAAGCCATGGGAATCATCAGATTCCCCTGCTTACGTAAATCTATTTATTATACGATGTCATCAATTTCATCCTCTATTGCGTGATGCTACATTTGTGGAGATAATTCAAACTCTGCACCCACTCTTCTCCGACTCTTCCTGACTGTCCTCCATCCGCCAACGAAAGATACTACGGATGAGTTTCAGTTGCTCTTGCAAGGGACACTACCCAAGTGATAATTTCAGATTTTCACTAAACTTTGGTCATTGAAAGGACCCTCAACACGAAGTCAAACAGCACCAAAACTTGCGGCTGAGAAACAGGTTTAGGCTCATATATGGCTTTCTTAATTTTCAATGAGAGGATTATTACGGTCTCCACCCTATTTTCATTGGCTATAACTTTTCAAGGGAAAGTCATATTCTGGTGATATTTGACAGAGATGTTCATGAGCCAAGGTTTTTTCCCTTGCTGTAAGATGTCGCTGCATGCCGATAGAGGGCGCTGATCACATTCTGTGGATTAATTTGAGCCATTTTTCTGATAATTGCTTGTGATCAGATCTGAAGGACAATAGGAGAGCAGGGTCAGTCGAGAAGTGGGAAGAAACTGACCCAGAAAAATGTAATATGTCATCGGTACTTCAGTTCGTGCAGAAGATTGTGATAGCCAGTAAGGAGCGTGAGACGGTTTCTTTGGCCCATGTTTTGGGTCTATTTGACTTCGTTTTGAGAGTTTTTTTTAATGACCAAAGTTTGGTGAAAATCGGTTCAAGCCTATGAATTTCTCTGACATATCAACTGCATCTAAGAGTTCTTTCAAGCGATATGATCAAAGTTGGATTTTGACTTGTAAAAATTTAATTTGGTTTGGTCATATCTTTTTAAGAAATAGTCAGATGTAGATGATTTTAGACAGAGATATTCTTATGTCAATGACCTATTCGTTCCTATGCCCAACACATGCTTGTACACATTGGAAGAGGGTGCAGTGATTGCATATGCGAAGGTAAAACGTGAAGGAGCACAATGGCTCTGCTTACAGCGTCTCTATGCTGGTAATACGTCATAACAGCACATCAACGTGAGACGTTGATGCACTGAGAGTTTCACATTCCCTTGGTGGGAGTGATGTGAATGCAAGACGTATTCCTGTTTTTGTAGCCAATTCCTAATCTCCATCTCTTATCTTTGCTTATGCCACCCCAGCGCCACCTATCGACATATGGAACCATGTGTCGAGTAAGGGAACGAATAAGTCATGGGCCCTTGAACATCTCTGTAAAGCATCAGCTGCATCTGACGATTCCTTAAAAAGTTAGGACCAAACAAAATTCAATTGCCACATGTTACCATTCAACTTTAAGGATATCTTTTGAAAGAACTCTCGGATGCAGCTGATATTTAGCATAGCGATTCATAGGCCTGAACATATGTTTTCCCATGCCTAAAAAATGACATGCAATCAGATAGGTGGCGCTGCTGTCGACATCAGTGCCCTCTATAGGCATGCAGCGACATCTTACAGCAAGGGAAAAAACCTTCTTGGCTCATGAACATCTCTGTCAAATGTCACCTGAATATGACTTTCCCTTGAAAAGTTATAGCCAACGAAAATAGGGCGGAGACCGTAATAATCCTGTCTCACTGAAAATTAAGAAAGTCATATATGAGCCTAAACTTGTTTCTCAGCGCAAGTTTTGGCGCCGTTTGACTACGTTTTGTGAGTCCTTTCAATTACCCAAGTTTAGGGAAAATCTTAAATTATCACTTGGGTAGTGTCCCTTGTTGGATTTATCATATAAGCTTTGGGCTGACGCATACTGGACTCACTATCCGACGTCGATCAAATGCGCTAACACGTAGATATTGCCTCCAGAGACGTCATTTTGCTTTAGAATTGTTAGCGTTTTTTCTGATGTTAACCTGCAATTAGCCCTTCAAACTCTAATCAATTTCATGCTACACCACAACGAGTTCGTATCAAGGTTTTTTTTTAGATCGGACTTTTTGTGGATGGGTATGATCGGCAGATTTATTTTGCAGTCACTTCTTGTTTCGTAATTATTGTCTGAAATAATCGTTACAGATGCTGGAAGCGGCGGATATCGCATTTGCAGACCAGCCTGGACTGTACATGGACACGGACATCATGACAATGACGGTCCTCTCCTCTCGAACCCAAAATAGAGCTGGAGACACTCAACTGAGAATGGAGGGAACCATGCGATTCCCCAGAGAGGCATATGATAACGACGTTTTGAACGGAGGGAATCCAGCAGAGAAAATGAATGAAACGTTAAATTCCAATTGGGCTTACATTTTATCCTGTCTGGAAGATCTAATACCGGATTTCCTCGGGAATAATCCATCCCTGGATTTCAACTTCAGCTCGAGTGCGTTATTGCAAGGGAGCTCCATTAGTTGTGAATCATTCCTTAAATTTATATGAAACAGTAAAAATTGCCCCAGCGATGATCGGGAAATGTGAATGTTTTCTGCAGATCCTCAAGTTATCCCCTGTGAAAATAACACGTGTCATAGTGATGCCAATTGCAATGAAAACGCGGAGGGACATCCTCCTTTGTGCAACTGCAATACAGGTTTTGAGGATCTCAACCCCAATTTCTCTGGCCGAGCATGTGCAAGTAAGTTTACCGGGAAAATGGTCCCTTCAAACCTATCATATGCGAAGTTAAATCCATCATTGATATTTCACTATTATGGGTAGTAGGAGTGAGTTCAAATTCGAACATATTTTCTGGACGCAGTACATAATTACCCTTTCCAACCCATTTTATTTGTAACGCAAATGAGATTGTTGGACTATGTCCGCCAGTGAACCGCAAAGAGTTAACTATAAATACCCTATTCTCTGGGTGCATTAGATTGGAGACATCTGGCCGCAGGAAATATAAAAATGAGCTGGGGAGGCTAGCGCGGAAGCTTCAACGTGTTTCTTATTGAAACATGCTTATTGAGACTGTTACAGATACGAACATGCTTCTTTCTCTTTGCCACGGGGATTTCCTCAGGCATAGAATCATTATGTAGTAAGTATTCGATAGTCTGAAGTTTCTACTTGAGCCACTAGGCAGCCTCAAAGGCTTGTTACGATGTTTCTTTCGGTCTAAGCCTTCGCTTTCCATGGGTCTATGGTAATCACTTTTAGGTATTTCCTATCATAGGATGAATAGCCAACTGTAAAAGGATAAGTTTCATCATGAGGGTTTCGAAATGATAATCATGAGGGAATCGAAAAGGGTTTCTGTCATGGATGACGATTCATCCCATGAGGCATAACTGTTAGGAAAAAAACCTATCAGCACTGAAGAGTATTCATAGGCAATGGGAGTCAAAACTGCTTGAGGTTTAAGTCACTTTCCCGTTGTAGTGAATTCTATTAGGTTGGAAAGAAAGTTTTCCAACACTTTCTAAAACTATTTATAAAATTTTTCAAAGGAATGATGGGCGGGGCTTTGCATTTATATATGCTGGAATGTTCTCGAAGCTTCTGCCCTTGGGGTATGTAAGGCGGCTTCTGCCATTAGTTTGCAGCCATGGCTCCGATCGAACGAGCAACTCTTCGCCCCATCGTCTACGACGAGTTCCTCCAAGGACACTCTGCGAGAGCCGCCGCGGACAACTTTTTGCTACCCTCATCTTGAGTAGTTACCACGCATTATATATCGAGTTGTGATCGGGCAACGTGGCTAGCCGATTTAGATGTCCGATCCCTGCTCTCTGCTGTTGCCAGTTTCGACTTGTGCTTCGGATCATCGTTTTCCTGCACTTTCCATGACGAGACTGCATTGGTCCATGGATGACTAAAAGAGGCCCGCGCTTGTAGATGTCCCTTAACAGTGCGGCGTTTAGATTCTCTTTCAGGCAAACGACGCCACCAAAGCCTCTGGTTGAAAACCAACATCACACGGTGACTTTGAAAAATTTTATAAATAGTTTTAGAAAGTGTTGCAAGAATTTATTTCCAACCCAATATTTGTTTCCCCGGTCCATATTCACACCAGGAAATCACCCACCAAATAGAGTATATGGAACAGCAAGAGATAGGTTCTGTTAACGCTTTTGACGACGCACCATTTTCTAATGGTATCCTAACAACGCTATACTGGTTATCCAGCTTTAGGCTTCATTTCGACTTGTGTCGATTCTCGCCCCATCAACCACAACTGCCAAATAGCAAACTTAAGATGTCTCTAGTTGATATTCTGCCTCTACTTTCACATCGACGACTGAACCTCCGGTTTTTTTTATCCGTGACGCATTGTTGTCGTGAATTCGTGAGATGACTCGAGACAAAGGGTGGTTAACTGTGCTCGATATACGTTATTAGTGTGCGAACGTAATGTGCTTCGACATTCCAGGAGGTAACTGCATTCAACATTTACAGTCGAACTCTGTTCAACGTAACTTCGGTTATATATAGACAACGTCTCCCTTGGCTAGGGTGACGTTGTCCCCGATGATCATCCCTAAAAAACCATTTTAGTAAAAGTAAAGAACGTTTTTCTCATTTTTGGATCATACAATAGGGCGGTGAAAATACTATAGTCTGAATCAAACTTTGGGAAAACAATACTTTTCATGAAAATGGACTTTAAATGGGAGAGTGGTAGCTTAAGGGGGGAAGAGGGGCTTGCTAAATTTTTCTCAGTGTCATGAAAGGTTTTGGTTCGTCTTCAATTTTTGTTGCCATATCGTAGTGATAGAACCCATTTATGGCACTCAGAAACATTTCTTGGAGCTCGAACCACAGGAACGATTGCATGAAAGTCACGGTAACGCAATTGCACCTCAAAATACGGGAGTGGGCTCATGTTTCCGCAAAAAACCGGGCAATCCTTCTCGGCAAAAACTTGTGAAAAATCCACTAGAACTTCTAAACAATCTAGAAAAAATGGAATAAAAAATCAGTGTCTGGCATCAAGACGAATATAACTTAGATTGGTCTGTGGATAAAAATCATATGCTTCAGCATCTGCAGAAGTTCATACTCAACAAGCAAATTTGTCTTCCCTTCAGGCAAACTCGCTATGGTCATGCCGTTGGCGCTCCATTGTCCAGGTTATTGATTCATTCATTAATTCATTCTCAAAGTGTCAAAAACATATTAAAATTATGTGCCTGTCGAAATGTGTCCTGAGAGAGAACGAATCGATATTTTCATCATATAATTACTCGGATTATTTATTGTGTGCCTAACTTGAAATCTCTTCATAATCTTCCCTGAGGGGTCATATTTCATAAGGTGGGCACACACTCATCAATCAAACAGGTACTTCTGCTCCAAGTTTCCACTTTCTTTAGTTTACTCTTTCAATGGACGAGAAAAGATTCCTGGAAATTGCGGCCTTTCTTCAAAAAAAGTGTGCCCCCAGGGATTTTACCTAAAAATTAAAATTCTAACTGAAATCAATACTAGGGGAATTATGTGCCTACTAAGTTTCAGCTTTATTCGTTTGCTCTTTTTGCTATTGCAATAATATACAGGGTGGCCAAAAAAACCGCACCAATTTCGATCGGCAATAACTTTTGAACAAATGAACCATTTTTCGTGTTCGAAACGGGAATTGAAAGGTCTTTTAATCCTCTTTCCATCGCCTTATGATTTATAGATTTTTCCTCATCGGAACCGGAGCAATTGCAATTTAAAGTACAAGCACCCAAAAAAGTGGATGAACAAGGCTGGCTTCTTGCTAAAACCCTTTCTGTATGCAGCATCCTTGGGCATTCTACGGCGATTTTCCGTTGCGTGCTTGCAACTTCCGTATCTTTCAAATTTCATCCTATAAAGGTTCCTTTAAAAAGTTCATTCCAGTCATTTTCATGGTTGCTATTCGAACGATTATTGATTCAAAACCGGTTTTGCGAACGTGCCGCCGTTGTCTTGCTGGTCAATTATTTTTAATTGCTCTCATATTGAGTTTCAGCAGTCAGGCATGTTTTTCTTTAGTGTAATGTAGCGTTTTTCTTCGTTTGAACTTGAATTATTCTCTTTGATCTCTAAGTTCAAAGTTTATTTTCTAAAATTTGACTTTAGATTTTTGCACCCTTCAAAATGGTCTTGAGCGAGAGTGACAAGTGTTTGATAACCGCGCTGCCTCAGGAAAAGAATTAGTCACTGAATCAAATTCTCGCGGAGTTTCTAGATCGCCAATGGAAACAAACAACAGTTGAGGCAAAAAAAAAAAACTTCAAGACCATGGAATTGGAAAACGTCGTCCGGGCAGTGGGCGTCCAAAAACTGATCGTACAGAAAAAAAGCGTCGAGAATGTCGGTTCACTGATTTGCAGCCAAAAAGGCATACCAGGCACCATTGTAAGTGTTCGGCGTATTTCAAAAGAAACAGATTCTGTCGACAGGGCAGGAGCCATTGTCGCACTTTCAACGCTACCTGTCATGGTGGGCCAAGGGACATATGATGCGCACCCCTGCTATACAGATTATGACCGTTCACTTGCCACAGCCAATCCATTCATTTCGCGTTTCACATAGTGCATGACGTAGGGTGATTCAGAAGATGGAAAAAATATATGTACCTTAAAATGAAGAATGCGGCGTGAGGGTAGGTCGAGTTCTGTTTGAAGCTACGAAGTGAGGAGATCTCGTGGGAACGAGGCGAAACCAAGATATGCTTCGCAAGCCGCCACTTGCTTGAAAGTTATCATAATGCAGGCAGTTGGAAAACAAACATGAACTGATTGGGCGTGGGTGGTTAGCACTGATAATATGCAGTGTCATATCCAAAGGTAAACGAATAACAATTATGTAACGGCTTTATATATTTTTACTCGCTGGAAAGTAGCGAAATCCAGTCCATTAATTCTCTATCCATCTCTAATCACACGATTTCCCCTCACCGACAACTCTTTTCTCATTTCAATGAAGGCAGATCAACCTTTGCAGTACCAAGGTTCATTAACCGTCTTGCTGTCGAATAGAGAAAATTGCTGGGAAAATCCCGCACATCATTTTTTTTTTAGAACTTCGTCTTCAATATATTCAAGGCATTCTTTACCCAACAATTTAAGAAGTCCGGTCGCAAAAGGGCTTCACCACATGGGGTTCCTACAACTAAAGTTGTTTTCCACTCGCTCTGTTGTTGCTATGGAACCGCAAAAACCTAGCATGCTCTACGTCATCGATGACCTTAATGATCGTAACCATTTCGGTCGTACCCTCGACTTTACTCCCTTATTCCTACGACCGCACGGGTACTACGGACATGGGCTTGTGTTTGTATTTTGCGATTGCTTCTTGCCTTTCTCGGTGTTGCCACCTTCTCCTCATGGCAAGACTTTCAATGAAACATAAAGGAAAGTCTAAGATTCCAAAGGCAAATGAGCAACATGATTGAACCCAGAAGAGATTGCTTGCATGCTGGTAAAAATGTAATAATAAGTTGGATTTTTGAACAGAAAACTATTCGATAATTAGGTATATTTCAGGAAAAAATGCAATGTATCCTATCCAATAATGCAACTTTACTAAGTTAATAAACAACACTGATTTTGTTTCTAAACAAGTTTACCATTGGGTGCTTTAAGCCCACTAAAACCTATCACTACGATAAAATCGTGCAAAGAATCGGAAATAGTAAGAACGCATCACCACCCGAAAACCCAGAAATCCATGATGTTATCGATCCCACGTCGGCAGGGCATTCTTCTTGCCGCGTGGGAATCGATTAAGACCTGTCTGGACTTGCTATCGCGCTTGTACCCCCCCCCCCTCTCTCTCTACCTACCTGTCTCTTACCTGTGACCCATTAGGAATACCCCGGCGAAATGGCAGCCAATGAAACAAACAAGGGCTCATCATCACGTTCAACGACCCCACGTGCAGCGGCGCTTTTTTTGCCGCACGGGAATCGCTGAAAACGAGTCCCTACATGTCCCTTCCACATTTCCTCATCATTCACGCCTATCTCTCTATCTCTCTCTTATCTCTCTTCCCTTCCACTCTGCGCCTTTTCTCTCGCATTTCACTCTCCTGCTCAGCTGAATAAATAAATATCAATGAAGACATATCCGCCCTCTCAGTCTCTCTCACTTTAACCGCCATCTCCTTGCTGTCACTCTTCTACTCTTTCCCGCAGGAACATCCTCACTGATTTCTCATTAACCGCCGACCTCATCTTGTCTCCCAATGGCGCCTGATGAGACCCTTCCGTTAAGCTGGCGCCTGGAAACCCCTTTTGTTCCAGTGGGGCCTCTGTCTCTTAACTCGCTTCAGATAGTCTGTGAATATGGCATGATTTAATTAAAAACTGTAAATTAACACATTCGATCCGATAGACGTACATGTACGTCCAGCCCTAACTAGCATCGGACGACGGTGGATGCAATAATAGGTCCTTAGAAAATTTTTACATTTTTTACGTAACCTTCTGCAATAAAATTGAGACCGTATACTTCAATTTCCAAAAAAAGAGCAACCCAGCAAAGAATTTGAAACATAATGTCGAATCAATGTTGAATCAACATTGAATTAACCTTAGGAACGTTGGTTCAACGTAGTCTTCTTTGCTGGGAAGTCTCTTAACATGTTCCTTTCTGAAGTTATGCACTTTTTTCCCAGACTTCTGTCACACCCTCCGGAGAGAAAGTGTTAAAGGACTGAGAATAGCAAAGTGTAAGGTTC